GATTAAAGGAACCAGTTTGCGATGATCCGCCCAAACTCCTTTAGCATAAGCGGTTGTGTGTGACTAAAGAGAACGGAGAATGCGCCCGCTCCTGGCCTTCCATCCCCCCACCTATCCCAACTCCATCGCACCCAAGCCTGAGGTCCCCGGCTCTGTCGGCACACAGATGCCAAGTTATTATTTGAGACCTCACCACAAACGCCAAGTTAGAGACCTCAAGATTTGTGAAAGCTGCCCTCAGGCATTGCTGGATATTTATTGCCAAAAAGGGCAAAAACCAGTCTCCACACAGATAAGGACATACAGGAATTTGTAGCTGTCCTGTAGATGTGCAAAGCAGAACATAGGAGTCAGGGACGGTGTGCTCACTGAACTCAGGACATCCAGAGTCTGCGTCACTGCCTTTCACAGGATCTCAGGGCATCAGGATTGGCAGGGACCCTGGATCTGATGCCCCCCTGCCCCATGTTCTTAACAGATGACGATACTGAGCACCAGAGGGAGGAAGTGGCCATTCTCCAGGCGGAGCTTAGTCAAGCTTGATTCTATCAGTAGATACAGATCAGTAGAAGCAGATGAAGATCAATCTGTGTTGCTTCTAGGAGCTTGAGGCATCTTCGCTATCTCAGTATGAAATGTCTCTTTCAATCCAGGCCCTCTCCGCCCTTCTAAGGGCGCACATGAAAATCACTCGGGACCCCACCCCCAGATGGGAACAGTGAGGCGAGTTAGAGACTCCAGCTGTGGCTGTCAGTGCCCAGGGCCCACTCCAGGACCATTTCTTCTGGCTGCCAGTGGAGAGCTGAACCCAGCAAACCTGAGAAGTGTTCCTGCCAACTTGGCATCTGGGGGTCACAGAGGTTCCTGGCGGGTGGTTTAGGGCCCCAGGTCTTTGCAGGGTTAAGTGGGCGAAGGAGGAGCTCAGGCATGAAAGAGATGCAGCTGAGAACATCCTTCTCCCCCAGCATCCCCGCCAGGTGTCAGGTGTGCAGAGTGGGGAAGGCCCCAGACTCCAGGAGACCCACCACTTCCCACCCTTGACTTGAGCCTGGGTGGCTGAGACACCTGGCCCAGGCAGGCACAGGGATCACTGGGGACTTTCCCTAAACTCTGGAATGGGGGAACAGGAACCACAGGAGGTGGCGGGGGCAGGGCTGATGCTGCTCTGCCTGCAGGCGAGCCTGCTCCCTCCGGCATCCGGCATCCGCTCTTCCTGGCCGCCAGCCCCAGCCCCTGCCCCTGCCCCCACTCAGTCTCCCTGCTCCCTCTGCACCCTTCCTTCTCTTTCTCACTCACTCCTTTTCTTCTTAAAGTTAATTGCAACTTTTTTCTCAGCGCTCTGATCTGGATAAGCCACATCTCATTAGAAAAAGATTTAGCTGGAGCCAAAGCAGGCTGGAGAAGGAATCCCTAATCAACAGAGAAAAGATTTGGGTGTAATTGCTCTCTCCCGCTCTTCTCGCTCCCTCCCACCTCCAATCTTTCTCTGCTCATTAATCTGAAAAGAAAGTCACAAACGTCTCAGTGCTCAAGTACCTGCTGCTGGGGCAAACAAATCCGAGTGTTGGGGGTTCTCTTTTGTGGGGGGAGTCTGGACAGAGAGATTTGGTTGTTGGAGTGAATGAGTAAGGCATTGCGGTAGTTGGGGGTGTGTATGAAGCACCTTGGTTGAGGGAGTAAAACTCTTGGGGGGGGTGTAAGATGCTTTGGTTGGGGGGGGTGGTGTGTGTGTGAAGCACATAAGATGAGTGTGTGTGTAAAGAGCGTTGGTTGTTGGGGTACATGTGTTTGTGAGTGTGAAACACTTTAGGGGTTGGGCTGTGGTTGGGCACTGTGGGGGGAGCCCTTCACTTGTTGGCACGTGGGTGTGAAGTAGTTGGTTGTCAAGGGGCTCGTGTGCAGCCCTTTGGCTGTTAGTGTGTGTGTGGAGTGTTTGTTGGGTGCGTATGTGTTCATATACGTTAGTAGCCCCTTTGGTCTTTTCCTTTCACCCCAATTAAATCCCAACAGATACTTAAATGGCAACACATGGAAAATGAATTTAGGAGCAAACCATCTCCCCAGATAGGGACCCTGGGTGCTCCAGCCCCCAGCAATGAAACAACACAGCTTTTTCATGCTCTTCTTTCAAACTTTGGAAATGTTCTCCAGTGACCATTCCTCTGTAATTAGTGGGGGGTGGGGGGGTGGGGAGAAAGGGAGGATGTTTTAATTAGTTTATTTTTAATTGAAAAAGTACCATATGCTCAAAAAGAAGAAAGGCTGTAATACACACTCCTGGTACAATGTGAATCCTACAGGGGCTAGATCACGAAAAGCCCACCTCTCTCCACCCCATCCCCAGGGCCCCTCCGGCATCACTCCCCATGAGTCATTTTTGTCCCATTCCAAATGCAGGCCACACGTACACCCTCCACATTGGCTCATTGCTTTTTGCAGTTAACAAATATCTCAGAGATTGTTTTCTAGCAGCAGAGATTTACATTAATGTTGTGTTCTGAATCCATAAAAATAGTTAATTGAGAAAATTAATAAGGGGCCTCCTGAGTATTCTATCCTGAGTACGAGACAGAGTACCAGGGAACAGCTCTCTCCCCAGTAAAATATACGACAGCAGCCTGGCACGATGCTGTCCCACATTTGTTGCCCATTTAATCCTCAGACAAACCTAGGAAGGAGTTATTTTCCCATTCATAGATGAGGACACTGATGCTAAGAGAGGCTAGATAACTTGCTGAAGTCACACAGCAAGTGTCAGAGTCGGAATCTGAACCCAGGCAGCCTGAAGGCAGAGCTCTGGCCCTTGACCCCTGCCTTCTGGAAGGAAGGAAGGGAGGAACTGTCTGGGAATCCAGGGCCCCTGTGTGTGAACTGCCCCACCCCACCTAAATTTCCCACTTTGTCCCAGCCCAGGACAACAAGGCGCCACCTTGTCCTCATCAGCCGTCCCACCCTGGCCCTCTCCCGGAACCCCAGTAGCCACTGCTGTCAGGAGAACCCAGGCAGACGCCGGCTGGCTCCAGCCCCCCGTCCCAGGCCCCGAGGGTGAAGCCTGGCTTGAGCCTCCTTGTGTTTCTCTGAGCACAGCCCATGCACGACTGCACCCCAAGCTGAAGAATTATCAGATGTAAGTACTGGCCGCAGAGGTGAAGCTCCCCGGGAGGAGGCTGTTTCAGTTGAGCTGGGTGTGGCGAGGGGAGGTTCTCAGCTGGAAAGCAGGAACCCCGTCCGGGAGCCGCCCTAACCAGAGCCCTGGGCCCCAGGATCCGCGGGCCGGGGAGGACACGGTTACAGCTCTCCTGTCACCTCACCCTCCTCTCTGCTCTTCATCCTCATTGGATCTCAGTCTGTTATGTAGTTGTTAACAACACTGGGGTCGCACCAAGGAGAAAATGGGCAGGAATGTTTGCAGAGAATGCAGAAGTCCTGTTTATGATGCTGGAGAAACGGATCTGGGGAGGGAAGGTTTTCAAAGGCACCTGGTGACCTGCTCAGAGCAGGGAGGGGCTGGGGTTGTACCACCTCCTGCTGCCGAGCCTAAAGGCAGACCCTCCAGACCTGTCAGATCCCAGCAGGTTCTCCTCAGGCTACAGTGGACATGGTCTGCCCCAGACAAGGGATAAATACACAGACTCTTTTTTATTTTTTTAAGTCTACGATTCCATTTATTTGAAGTCCAAGAGCAGGCAGAACTCATCAGAACGTGCTTGGGGTGATGGTGACGGCGGATGTTATATGTCAGCTCGACTAGGTTATAGTCCTCATTTACTCAACTAAACGCTAATCCAGGTGCTGCTGTGAAAGTATTTGGTAGATGAGATTAATATCTACAATCAGGTGACTTTTTTTTAAATTTGATAAATTTGCTGTTAAGTTTCGTAAATTTAAGGGCACAGCATGTTACTCTGATACATTTATATATTGTAATATGATTGCCATTGAAGCAATATTTATCACATTACATCATTATAGTAAATATTATTTTCTATATTCATTATACTGGGCAGTAGATCGCTACGGCTTATTTACTACTCATTACAAGATTGTACCATTAAACACCATCAGTCTTATTCACGCCCCGCCCCCCCATCCCTGGTAACCACCATTTTACTCTGTTTCTTTATAGGTTTGACTTTTAGATCCCACGAATAAGTGAGCTCATACCGTACTTGTCTTTCTCTGTCCGACTTATCTTGCTTAGCATAATGTGCTCAAGGCCCATCTATGTTGTTGCAAATGGCAGGATATCCTCCTTTCTCGTGACTGAATAATATTCCATTGTGTACATATACCACATCTTTCTCATCCATTCATCCATTAATGGGCATTTAGGCTGTTTCCATATCTTGACTATTGTGAATAATGCTGAGATAGACATAGGTGTGCATATATCTTGTTGAAATCCTGTTTTCGTTTCCTTCGGGTATATACCCGGAAGTGGAATTGCTGGATTGTGTGGTAATACACAGACTCTTAACATGGGGCCATGTGCTCAGAATATTTATCAAAGCCTAGAACAATGCTGTCCAATTCAGTAGCCACTGGCCACATGTGGCTGCTGCGCATGGGAAATGTGGCTAGTCCAAATTGAGATAGGCTGTAAGTGCAAAATAGACACCAGATTGTGAAGACTTGATATAAAAATCAAATGTGAAGTATCTGCTTATCATTGTAATCAATTGTCTGCAATTGTGTACATTTCAATCAATTGTCTATTGATTAGATATTGAGATGATAATATTTAGAATATATTGGGCTAAATGAAACAACTTATAAAACTTAATAATGGAGCATGCTTGTCAAGTGCTTTGGCTCACCTTTTTCCTTTACCCTTTTTTTAATGTGGCTACTAGAAAATTTAAAATCACAGGGGCCGGCCCTGTGGCCGAGTGATTAAGTTTGTGCGCTCCACTTCAGCGGCCCAGGGTTTCACCGGTTCAGACGCCGGCCACGGACATGGCACCGCTCGTCAGGCCACACTGAGGCGGCGTCCCACATGGCACAACCAGAAGGACCTGCAACTAGAATATACAACTAAGTACTGGGGGGCTTTGGGGAGAAGAAGAAAAAGGAAAAAATTCAAAATCAAACACGCCTCCATCCTTGAGCTTAAGAAAGTTATTGCAAAAGAAATAAAAGGATGCCAACTCTCACTCTCGCTGGCACCTGTGGCTCCCGTTACATTTGTGTTGGACAGCACTGGCCTGGAATATAATACACCCTTTCTCGAATATTGGTATCCCCATTTTACCGATGAACAAACCAGCTCAGAGGTTGAGTGGCTTGACCAGGGACACGAGCTAATGACCTGCAGAAGCCAGAATTCACATCACAAGAGGCCGGTGATCCTGGTGGGACAGTCTACTCCTCGATGAAAGTCCTAAAACAAGGGATGTGCTGTTGTTTTGACAAGATCTTATGCCGACGTGTTTAGTCCCACGAAGGACTGAAGCCACTTTGGAATCTGGGGAAAATAAAATAAAAACCTGTGACTCAGGGCTTAGGGGGACCTCCTGACACTAGCCAAGAATGTCAAGGCGCAGGATAATTCTTAGTGCGCTGTGCTCGGGCAGGCTTTTCCATTCTCTGTGTGGACTTGGGCCAGTCCCTTCCCCTCTCTGGGACTCAGCTTCTCCATCTGTGAACAGAGGGACCGGATTAACTGTTCTCTGAGGTCCATCAGGATCCATGGTGCATCTCAGCAGATCCCTCCCTCCCTGTGGTTGAGAGTGAGTTTGAGAGCCACTTGCTGGGTCCTGGGGCAAGTGACAGTTCTCTTGTGTCCTCTGTGAGACGGGGATGAGGACAGTGTGGACTTCAGAGAGCTTCTCTGAGGATTAATGAGCTAGTTCAGGTGATGCACTCAGCACTTGCCTGGCACACAGGAAGTGCCCAGTAAATGCTTGCCCTTGTCGTCAGCGCAGCAGAAACCAAGTTGACCTGCTGGCTTAGAGAGTTCTCGGTCAGCAGACTCAGATTCACAAGCAGCATCTGCCTTGGAGCCTCCCCTTAGCCTGACACACTCAAATGCCGAATTTGATCCAAGGTAGGTTCACCTTGGACTTGGCTTTTGAAGGTTTTGTTACCAGGGGAACTCAATTCCCTGATTGCACGGGTAACAGAAGCACCAAGAAGAGGGCAACTTCGGGAGGGCCCAGAGGACAGTACTGCAGAGGGAGACTCCACGTTCTTGCACTAGAGCATCTTCCGGCGTATTCGGAGGAAGGCAGGAAACGTCCACCTCCCAGGCGATGCGTTAGTTCTTAGTGTCACTTCTTTCCCTCGGTGGTAGCGGGAAAATGTCACTTTGCCATCCTTTGGAGGAGGGATGCAGATCCCCGGCTGCAGACCTTTTTCACCCCCTTTTCCCACCGTGGGAGGACTGGGACCTCGGTTCTTCTCAACAGCTGTTTTCAGTTTTTCACCGTGAATTGTGGGTAAACAGCCTCCTGTATCAGATAAAGGCTCTATCAGCTCAGCAGCTCACCTCCTACATACACCCTCTTTCTCATGAATACAAGTCTGCCTTAGGAGTAAGTTGAACTCGATTTTGTTTCCTGGGTTGCTATCTTGAACTAATAACTGGGAGGAACCTTGAGTTCAGCGTAGGCTCCCGGCTGTCTCTGGCGTTCACCGGCTGCCATCTGCTGGGCAATCCTGGTATGACATGGTCTCCCTGGCTAGCAGGCTGTTTCACCAGGGGTGAGGAGGTTTGCCCATTCAATCAAAAAATATTTATTGAACAGAAACTGTGTGCCAGGCATAGTTCTAGGCCATTGGGATTCCTCAGTGAACAAAACAGACAAGTATTTCTGTTCTTCTGGAAGATACATTCTTGCAGGTGGTCACAGGCAATCGACAAGAAACATAATAAAGAATACCGTATGCCAGAAAGCGATAAGTGCGTGGAAAAAAAATTTAAAAGTGGAAGATGTAAGGTGGATGGGAAGTGCTGGGTGGGGGAGGTGAGTTGCAGTTTTAAATAGTTTTCATGGTCAGCCTCATTGAGAAGGTGACTTTTGAATAAAGGATTGAAGGAAATGAAGGACTTTGCCATGGAAGAAGAGTGTACCTGGCGGAAGGGATGGGCTGCAAAGGCCCTGGGGTAGGAATGTGCTCTGTGCATTCAGGGAATCCCAAGCAGGCCAGGGTGGCTGGAGAAAGCAAGCAGGGAAGAGGAGTCTGAGAGGTGGTCAGAAAGCAGGCGAGGGGCTGGACATGCAGGGTCTTGTGGGCCATTGTTTAAGGACCGTGGCTGTCTTGATTGGCTTGGGGCTGCCATAACAAATGCCACAGACTGGGTGGCTTACACAGAAAACTTTTGTTTCTCACAGTTCTGGAGGCTGAAAGTCCAAGATCAAGATGCCAGACGATTCAGTTTCTTGTGAGGACCCACGTCCTGGCTTGTAAAGGGCCGACTTCTTGCTGTGCTCACGTGGCTGCTCCTCAGTTTCTTTCTGTCTTCTTCTTCTAAGGCCACTTATCGCATCATAAGAGCCCCATCCTCATGACCTGATGTAACCCTAGTTACCTCCCAAACATTCCGTCTCCAAATGCCATCACAGCGGGGATGAGGGCTCCAGTGTATGAATTTTAGGGGGAGACACAAACATTCAGTTCTTTAACATTGGCTTTTCCTTCAGAGATGCTGTTCCAGAGAGGAAGCCGGGGCTGCAGTGCCACGATGCTAAGACATCTGGAAAATGCTCTCAAAAACACAAGCCACTCTGGTAATTCTCTTCATTCATTCAGCAAACATGTACATAACATGCGGAAAATAAAGTCAAACCACGTGTGTTGAAGGTGAGGAGTGTGTGTGTGTGTAACCTGTGAGTGTGTGCACGGGAGTGAGCCTGTGGGGGTGTGTTTGTTCTGTGAGTGTGAGTATGTGTGTGTAACACTGAGCAAACACTCATTGAGTGACTGAACGCTTCATTCTTTAATTTTGGTGCCGCCTCCAAAATAAACAAATTGCCCCACAAGTATGCTTACTAAGTACCTGTCCGGCGAAACAGGGGCGCCTTCTGCCAGAGCCCTCCACCTTTCCCTCCCCCACCCAGCCTGCCCCGGCGCTGTGACAGGGAGTGCTCCGTCCCTTGGCATGTTTGCATACAGCAGGCTGTCCTTCCTCTTCCCTCCGTCCTGCAAATTCACCCCGATGTCTTTGCTTCTGCAATTTCTGCTTCACACCCTCCTCTCGGGAGTGGAGGCCGCCCTGCAGCTAGCCTCTGACGGAGGGCGCAGAGTTGGGTAAGACCTGCCACTGCGTGTCTCAAGGAGGCGACCATCTCCTGGAATGCCGAAGTCGTGACTAGACTCAGTTGCCCGGTGCGCAGAGATAAGAAGTGCATGAACTTTGGAGGCCGATTGTGTGGCTTTAAATCCTGTATTTGCCACTTCCCAACTCAGGGCTGGAAGGCGAGTTCTTTAACATCTCTCAGCTTCTGCTCCCGCGGGAAGGCAAATACCCACCCCGTGGAGTATTTGAGGGGACTAAAGGGATCGTCAGTTATGTCCCTGGTATTTATTGAGCACCTACTGTGTGCCAGGTGCTGGCGTAGGTGCTGGGGGCACCATGATGAACTCTCATGGAGTGTATCTTCTAGTAGGATGTGATGCTAACTGGCACAAGAGGTCAAACTTTCGAAAGCAGGTGTTCAAGTTTCTAAAAGCACATACCGGGTGTGCTCCCAGTATGTGTGTGTGTCTGTGTGTGTGTGTCTGTACACACGTGTACATGCATATGTTTAAAGAATGAAAGCTACCAAGGGATAGACACTGTATAATAGCATTGATGTTTATTTAAAAAATACAAATCGTGCTATATAAATATTTTTTAACATGTATCTGAATAGTAATACTATTAAAACATTTACAAGAAATATACACACTAATAACTTCAGGATAACGTTCCCTGGATAATGTGAGAGAGAGAGAGAGGAGAGAATGGGATATGAACCTAGATGTTTAGCTGCAACTGTAACCTTTTATTTCTCTATAAGAAAAAACCTGAAGCAAATATGGCAAAATGATAACTTCCACTGGATATTTTTAGATATATTATTTCATTTACTAAGTACAAATACTAACCCTAAATTGTGTCTGTTATTTCTGAATTATAGATCAGTAAACTGGGGCTCAGCGAGTTATTGCGGCAACAGGAAGCTGGTCAGTGAAACTGTCTATCTAAATTTGAAGTCTTAGCTCATTTGTTAAATCATCCAACCTCCTAAATGTATGTTACTATATAGCTGGAATTCGATTTGCCAATATTTTGTTGAAGATTTATGCATTTAAGTTCATGAAAGATATTGGATGTAGTTTTTTTTTAAATTAAACCTTCTTTTTTTAGAACAGTTTTAGGTTCACAGGAAAATTGAGAGGAAAGTTTGGAGAATTCCCATATACCCCTTGGTCCCAACCTACCCCATTGTCAACATCCTGCCCCAGAGCGATACATTTGTTACAACTCATGAACCTGCCCTGACACATCATCATTGCCCGAAGTCCACAGTTGACATCAGAGATTGCTCTTGGTGCTGTACCTTCCATGGGTTCGGACAAATGTATAATGACATGTATCCACCATCGTAGTGTCATACAGAGCAGTTTTACTGCCCTAAAAATCCTCTGTGCTGCCCCTATTCATCCCTCCCTTCCTCCTGATTCCTGGGAACCGCTAATCATTTTACTGTCTCCGTAGCTTTGCCTCTTCAAAAACATAGTATAGTTAGAATCATACAATATGTAGCCTTTTCAGATTGGCTTATTTCACTTAGTAATGTGCATTAATGGTTCTTCCATGTCTTCTTATGGTTTGATAGGTCATTTATTTTGAGTGCTGAACAATATTCCATTGTCTGGACAGCTCAGTTTATTTATCCATTCACCTGCTGAAGGACATCTTGGTAGCTTCCAAGTTTTGGCAATTATGAATAAAGCTGCTATAAACCTCTGTGTGCAGGTTTTTGTGTGGACACAAGTTTTCAGGTCGTTTGGGTAAATACCAAGGAGTGCAATTGCTGGACCAGACGGTAAGAGTATGTTTAGTTTTGTGAGAAACCGCCAAACTGTCTTCCAAAGTGGCTGTACCATTTTGCATTCCCACCAGCAATGAGTGAGGGCTCCAGTTGTTCCACATCCTCACCAGCATTTGGTGTTGTCAGTATTCTGGATTTTAGCCGTTCCAAATAGGTGTGCAGTGGTATCTCACTGTTGTTTTAATTTGCATTTCTGTGATAACACATGATGTGGAGCACGGTTTCATAAGATTTTTGTCCTCTTTGGTGAGGTCTGTTCAGATCTTTTGCCAGTTTTTAAATCGGGTCGTTTGTTTTCTTATTGTTGAGTGTAAAGAGTTCTTCGTAGATTTTGGATAACAGTCCTTTTTCAAATATGTTATTTGCAAATCTTTTCTCCCAGTCTGTGGCTTGTGTTCGTATTCTCCTGACATTGTCTTTCATGGAGCAGGAGTTTTTTATTTTAATGAAGTCTAGCTCTTCAGTTACTTCTTTCATGGATGGTGCCTTTGGCGTTGTATCTACAAAGTCACCATACACAAGGTCATCTAGGTTTTCTCCTATGCTAATTTGCTCCTTTTTTTTTTAAGTATGCTTTTTCTTGGTGAGGAGGATTGGCTCTGAGCTAACATCTGTTGCCAATCTTCCTCTTTTTTTTTTTCTTTTTTTCTCCCCAAAGCCCCAGTACATAGTTGTATATCCTAGTTGTAAGTCCTTCTAGTTCTTCTATGTGGGATGCAGCCACAGCATGGCTTGATGAGTGGTGTGTACGTCCACACCCAGGATCCAAACTGGCAAACCCCAGGCCACCAAAGTGGAGCATGAAAACTTAAGCACCCGGCCACAGGGCCGGCCCCTGCTCTTCTTCTGATTTCCTAATGTGGAAGCTTAGATTAGGGATTTTAGATATTTCTTCTTTTCTAATATGTGCATTGAATGTTATAAATTTCCCTCTAAGCACTGCTTTCACTGCATCCCACAAATATTGATAAATTGCATTTTCATTTTCATTTAGTTCAAAACATTTCTAAATTTCTCTTGAGATTTCTTAGTTGACTCATGTGCTATTTACAAGCGTATTATTTAATCTCCCAGTGTTTGGGGATTCTCCAGCTATCTGTCTGTTATTGATTTCTGGTTTAATTCCACTGTGTTCTGAAAGCAGATATTGCATGATTTTTATTCTTTTAAATTTGTTAAAGTATGTTTTATGGCCCAGAATATGGTCTATCTTGGTGAATGTTCCATGTGGGCTTGAGAAGAATGTGTGTTCTGCTGTTGTTGGATGAACTAGGCTATAAATGTCAATTAGATCCCGTTGATTGATGGTGCTCTTGAGTTCAGCTATGTCCTTACTGACTTTCTGCCTGCTGGCTCTGTCCATTTCTGATAGAGGGGTTTTAAAGTCTCCAACTATAATACTGGATTCTTCTATTTCTTCTTACAGTTCCCTCTGGTTTTACCTCATGTGTTTTGATGCTTTATTGTTATGTACATACACCTTAAGGATGGTTATGTCTTCCTGGAGAATTGATCCCTTTATCATTATGTAATGCCCCTTTTTGTCCCTGATAACTTTCCTTTTTCTCAAGTCTGCTCTGTCTGAAATGAATATAACTACTCTGGCTTTCTTTTGATTAGTGTTACAATAGTATCTCTTTATCCCTTCGCTTTTAATCTATACGTGTCTTTATATTTAAAGTGACTTTTTTGTAGACAATATATAATTGGGTCTTTTTTTTTTTTAATATATATATTTTTTTAGTCATATATTTTTTTAATAGCAATTTAGATTTTATTCTTTCCCTTTTTCTCCCCAAAGCCCCCCGGTACATAGTTGTATATTCTTCGTTGTGGGTCCGTCTAGTTGTGGCATGTGGGACGCTGCCTCAGCGTGGTTTGATGAGCAGTGCCATGTCCGCGCCCAGGATTCCAACCAACGAAACACTGGGCCGCCTGCAGCAGAGCGCGCGAACTTAACCACTCGGCCACGGGGCCAGCCCCTGGGTCTTGTTTTTTGATCCACACCGACAATCCGTCTTTTAATTGGGATATTTAGACCATTGATGTTTAAAGAGATTATTGATATAATTGGATTAACATCTACCATATAAGTTATTATTTTCTATCCATTTTCCTCATTCTTTGTTCCTGTATTTGTCTTCCTCGGTTTTTCTGCCTTTTGCGGTTTTAATTGAACATTTTGTACGATTCCATTTTCTTCTTTTTTAGTTTATCAATTATACTTATTTTTTTAAAACTTGTGGTTGCCCTAGAGTTTGCAATGTACATTTACGTTTACTCCAAGTCCTCCACTTTCAAATAATGCTTTCCAATGTCACAGGTAGTGAAAGTACCTTCTGACAACAACAACAAAAATCCCAATTCCTCCCTCCCATCTCTTATTTCATTGCTGCCATTCATTTCACTTATACGTAAGTATATATATATGTACGTGTATATTTACACACACACATAAGCATACATAATCTAATACATTGTTGCCGTTATTTTGAACAAACTATATCTGTTAGATCAGTTGAGAATGAGGAAAATGAAAGTTTTTATTTTATCTTCACTTATTCTTTCTCCGATGCTCTTCTTTTCTTTATGTAGATCCGACTTTCTGACCTATATCATTTTCCTTCTCTCTGAAGAACTTCTTTTAACATTTCTTTCAAGGCCAGTCTGCTGGTGACAAATTCCCTCAATTTTTGTTTATCTGAGAAAGTTTTTCCTTCTCCTTTAGTTTTGAAGAATAATTCACAGAGCACAGAATTCTAGATTGGTGGGTTGTTTCTCTCAATACTTCAAAATATTTTATTTCTTCTTGCTTGCATGATTTCTGAGGAAAAGTGGGATACAGTTCTTATCTTTGCTTCTCTGTAGATAAGGTGCTTCTTTTCCTCTGGCTTTTTCAAGATTTTTCCTTAGTCTTTGAATTCCTGGAGTTTGAATATGATATGCCTGAGTACGTGGTTTTTTGTTGTTCTGTTCTGTTTGGCATTTACCCTGCTTGGTGTTCTCTGAGCTTCCTGGATCTGTGGTTTGGTGTCTGTCATTAATATGGGGAAATTCCTGGGCCTTATTACTTCACATGTTGTTCCTTACTCTCTTCTCCTTCTGGTATTCCCATAAAATATATGTTACACCTTTTCGAGTTGTCCCACAGCTCAGGGATATTCTGTTCCATTTTTCCTAGTCTTTTTTCTCATTGCTTTTCAGTTTTAGAAGTTTCTATCGAGACATCCTCAAGCACAGAGATTCTTTCCTCAACCATGTCCCGTTTGCTAATGAGCCCAGCAAAGGCATTCTTCATCTCTGTTACAGTCTTTTTGATCTCTAACATTTATTTTTGATTCTTTCTTAGAATTCCCATATCTGCTTACATGATCCATCTGTTCTTGTCTGTGGTGTACTTTTTCTATTAAAACCCTTAGCATATTGATCATAGTTTTAAAAAAATTCTTGGTCTGATAATTCAAACATTCCTGCCATATCTGACTCTGGTTCTGATGCTTGTTATTCTCTTCAAACTGCGTTTTTTGCCTTTAGTATGCCTTGCAATATTTTTGTTGAAAACCAGACATGATGTACCAGGTAACAGGAACTGCTGTCAATAGGCCTTTAGGTAGTGGTAAGGTATGTTGGGGGGAAGCGTTCTTTAGTCCTGTGATTAGGTCTCAGTCTTTTGACCAGTCCATGCCCCTAGGCTGTGAACTCACCAGTGCATCTGTTTTCCCCACACACGCTTAGGTGGGACATGATGGCTAAAGGGGCCTGGAGTTGGTTATTTCTTTTCACCCAGGTCAGTAGACGCTGATAAAACCCCGTTAGGTTAATCTCTAGTAAATAGTTTCTCTTGAGGGCAGGCCTTTTGAAGAAAAACAGACTTCTCCGTATTTCAAAATGGTTCCTCTTTTCATCCCCCTGCTGGAAGGACAAGGGGATTTTTCTCTGATATTCACTGTGAGAACCTGGTGGAGCTCCTGGAGATAAAACTCACCAAAACATGAGGATCCCACCGTGATTGAGCTCCCTGGAGTTTTTAATTCTCACACTTGTCCACACTGAGCCTCTAGCTACTGGTCAATTACAGTTCAGGTCTCCTGCCCCTGCGCTGAGTTCTGCAGAGGTTTCCTCCAGGGGGTTTGTGCTCGAGTAAGTTGTGATTCTCAGTGTCTTCCTGTTTCTCCAATTTTTGGAACAGCCATTTGCCCTGTGACCTCACTTCTCTGTTAGATATAAGAAGAATTGTTTCGGGCCAGCCTGGTGGCATAGTGGTTAGGTTCACATGCTCCTTTCAGTGGCCTGGGGTTCACGGGTTCAGATCCCAGGCATGGACCTACACACCCCTTGTCAAGCTATGCTGTGGCGGCATCCCACATACAAATTAGAGGAAGATGGGCACCAATGTTAGCTCAGGGACAATCTTCCTCAAGCAAAAAGAGGAAGATTGGCAAGAGATGTTAGCTCGGGGACAATCCCCTGCTAAAAAAAAATAAATCAATGAAACCTCTTCTTTAAAAAAAAGGAATTGTTGATTTTTCAGTTGGTTCAGCTTTTTGTTTGTCAGGACAGAGTGGCAACATCTAAGCTCCTTAAATGCCAGACTGGAAGCTGGAAGTCTCCTAGTGTTCTTTTCTTGTACTGTCTTTGTCTGGTTTTGGTATATCAGAATGACACTAGCTTCATAAAATGAATTGGGATGTGTCCCCTCTTCTACTTTCTGGAAAAGGTCATATAAAATCACTCTTAATTCTTTAAATGTTTGGAAGAATTCTCCAGTGAAATCATCAGAGACTGAAGATTTCTTTTTCAGAAGCTTTCTAAATTACAAGCTTGATTTCTTTAATGGTTATATGGCTATTTAGATTGTCTATTTCGTCTTGGTTGAATTTTGGAGTTTGTCGTATTTAAAGAATTAGTCCATTTCTTTTATGTTGTCGAATTTTTAAACATAAAGTTGTTCAAAGTATCCGCTTACTGTCTTTTTAATGGCTGCAGGATCTGTGTTGATATACCCTGTCTCATTTCTGATATTGATAATATGTGTCTTCTTTTTATCTTTGTCAGTCTTGCTAAAAGTTTATTAATTTTATTGATGTTTTTGAAGGACCAACTTTTTGTTTTGTTTGGTTTTCTCCATCGTTTTCCTGTTTACAATTTCAATGATTTCTGATCCTACCTTTATTATTTCCTTCCTTTTGCTTACTGTGGGTTTAAATTTGTTCTTTTACTTATTTATTTACTTGTTTATTTACTTTTTTCCTCTTCTCCCCAAGCGCCCCAGTACACAGTGGTATATTCTAGTTGTGAGTGCCTCCGGTTGTGCTGTTCTTCTTCTACTAGTTTCTTGAAGTGGGAACTTAGATTATTGATTAGAGACCTTTCTTCTTTTCTAATATAAGCATTTAGTGTTATAAATTTCCCTCTCAGTTCTGCTTTAGCTGCACCTCACATATTTTGATTGGTTATATTTTATTTTTCACTTAAGTTCTATGTGTTTTTTTTATTTCCTTTGAGACTTCCTCTTTGACTCATGAATTATTTAGAAGTATGCTGCTTAATTTCCAAGCGTTTGGAGACTTCCCTGTTGTCTTTCTACTCACTGAATTTTTTCCTGAAGTTTTGTGGGATTTTTTTTAAGTGAGGTCATAATAGTTTACAACATTGTGAGATTTCAGTTGTACGTTATTGTCAGTCACCGTATAAATGTGCCCCTTCACCCCTCGTGCCCACCTCCCAACCCCCTTCCCCCTGGTAACCACTAAGCTGTTCTCTTTGTCCATGTGTTTGTTTATCTTCCACATATGTCTACTCATTGAATTTTAATAACTGTCTCTGAATTATTTTATGTCCACGAGAACAAGACTTTATCTATTTATTCTACTGCTATATCACTAATGCTAAGAACAGGAAAATAGTGTGTGCTCAAAAAATAAGGGTAAATGATAATGGCAATATTTAGCTTAAAAATCAATAGAGAGAAGGCTGAAGGTTAAAAGGGGGAGGGGGGCATCAGAAGTTGCTGATAATTAATCACTGTGTGGGCAAATATGGTTGCCTTTTATTTTCTTCTTTTTATCTTTCCTATTTTCCAAGTTCTCTGCAATCAGCCTGTACTACTTTTATAGTCAAGTGAAGGAATTATAAAAGTGTGGACTGCTATTTCTGATCATTTTCACTCCCTCCGTGGCAGTTCGTATCAGAATACGTATCGCTGAAAAAAGCTGAAGATGAGAGGCAGGGCCACTGAAAGACCCTCAGGAAGGTCCTGGAGCTGAACTGACACAGACCCCCTCAGGGAGACAGATAGGGACCCTGCTAGCCACCCACTTCTGGAGGCTTCTGAGATTGCTGCTGCAATAACTTTATCATCAAGACCATGTGCATTTCAAGTCACAAAGGTCAGTTTCATCCTTCTCTTCTCACTGCCCAGAGGCCCCTTGAGATCTTGTGAATTAATGTTTGTTCCAGGAGATCTGGTTTGCTGTTGGAAATAAAGCATCCATCTGCCTAAGTCCAGCCGTCAAAATTCCTTAAACAATTTACTGTGAGGAAACAGTGTTGGTGTCTGCTTTCAGGGTTCACAGTGTGCGAAAGATTACAAAAAAATAAGAGGGAGCAGAGAGGAGATAGTGTAGGGTGCTTTTAACTATAACCATCTTTTACACCTTTAGTCACAGTGTCTGCACGCTTTTTGAAGGCAATTTCTTTGGGAAGCCGAGTAGACGGGATAATCTGATGGTAAGGCCAGCTGGCCACAGTCACCACACAAACAGTTCTTAAGTGTGGACAATTTCTGAAGATGAGTGAATATGCTTTTCTACTTTGGAAAATAATGCTGAGAACTTGGTTTCAATTTTGTAATATTTTCATTCAACAAAGAGATTGCCTAGATCTGGAAGATTTTTTTCACCCTTTCCTATTTTTGAGGTGAGGTGACTTGCTATAGGGGCCAGGGATTTCCTGGGGGCCTAGGATTGGGCAACTATGTAACCTGATGCCTGGGGATGGCACAGGGTACCACTCCTGGGGAGCACCCCACACACAGTGGGAAGGGAGTGTGGCAGCAGCTACAGTCTCCTTGGAGCTGAGCCAAAGAAGGCACCAAGATCAACAAGCATTTCCATATCGATTTGTCAGAGTCTCAAAGAACAGCCAAGGCCGAAGAATCTGGAAAATAATGACATAACCTAATGGAGGGAAAACAAGAATCCACATCCCAGGAATAATTTATGTCAAGCAACACAGGCTATGCTGAGGCCAGCCAGAAAGAGAATATTGTCATATTAACGAGTCTGTCCATTTTAAAAATCATTTGATTTCAATAATCGCTGGGCACCTGATTTGCTGATTTTTTGTTGCTGCTGCTGACTTGACTAATTTGAACTAAATACGTCAAAAGGCATAGACTCGTTGTTCGTTTAATTTTTAGTGACACCTACTATTCAGTTAAATTCAGACACACCAATCGCTCCTCCAGGGCTCCCCGTGGAGACCACCCTTGCCCACTGGGGGGACTGTTCAGGAATCTTTTCTGGCCCCCTGCTTTATGAGCACCTCGGGACTCTGCTTCCCCGCCTGTAAGAGCGAGGCATGGCCATGAGTCTTGCTTTGCCCCACGAAATGTGTGCAGAAGTGCCACTTTGGGCAGAAATTTCAAGCCAGTGTATAATTCACTCCATCTTCTTCTGTCTTCTGTTGTGCTTGTGGATATGTGTGTCAAGACAAAGCCATCCTGGGTCCCAAAGTAGTTTTGACATGCAGAGCACCCCATGCTGTCCTGCAATGAACAGGTGGCATGAACAAGAGAGAGCATTTATTATGTAAAGCCGCTAAGATCTGGTGCTTGTTACTGCAACATAACCTGGCCTGTCCTCACTATTGCACATACACGCGCGCACACACACACACTCTTACTGAGTACCTTACTTACTTACTGTGTGTGCAAAGGAAGGATCCAGGCCGTGGGGGGAATTCAAGATAAGACATACCATCTTTCTGTGAAGAGCTTACAAGCCGGTTTGGCAAATAAGATATCTAGACAACCTATAATGATAATGACACGAGTGGATAGTCCAAGAACGAAATGACAAGATGTTTGTGTAGCTGCAGCCTTAAGAAGGAATTGATCAGGTGGAGTCCAGGATGAATGTAAGAACGGCTCATGTGCCAGGTGTCTCCTCTTGGCCCCTCCAGATTCCTTCTTTACCCTTCTCCCGCCTGCTTCCTGCCCCGAGAGGCTGACCTGTGTGACCTGACTGCGTTAATAAGCTCCTTTCCCTCTGGCTCCTGGTCAGGCTGGGTGCAGGATGAGGACTTAGCAGAAGATTGGAGGGAAGGAAGAGAAGGAAGATGGGATATTTATTCATCTGGTTCCCTTCTCTCAGGGCCACTCATGTTGGCTGCACCCCTCAGCTGAAGGTCCCAGCTCCTCTCAACATGACCCTCCCTGTTTGACTGTCTCCTTCCAAATTCCCATAATGCTCTCTTCCCTCACACCTGCAGGGCCAGTGAGAGCCCCACAATCAGTTATTAGCCCCAGTATCCTCCGCTCTCCCTCTTGGTTTCCCTACACCCTGCCCACACATTTGTAAATCGTCCTTTTTTTAAGAATCCTTAAATTATCCTATTTTAAGCATGCCATCTGTTTCCTGATAGACCTGACTAATAGATCTTGCTTTGGGGAGCCAGCAGCGGGAAGGAAATGATCATGCTTTGTCTAATTATAGGGTCAGTTGGTAAAAGAGGCAGGAGGCTTTAAAAATGACTAATTCTTCATTAAGCAATGAATTATTAAATGGCTTTGCTTCTCTCATCCGAACTGAAAGATTCTGCTCCAGTGAAGGGGAGGGCTGGAGGCAGAGCACCGGCCTCCACACCTGCGATGAGCTAGGGGACCACCACGGGGCCTTTGATCACAAAGCCCTTCGCAAATGCTGGGGCCACAGGAGGCAACCACAATGTAACGCCACCTCCAGGGAGCTTCCTGAGCCCCATTCCCTGGCAAAGTTAACAGCAGAATTCCAACCACTATTTTCAACTTGAACCTGAGGCCAGAAGCCTAATTTCCATGCTCAAGGGAAGTTCTAGACCTTTCTTTTGAGTTCCCATGTATAGCATAGAGCTGCTTGGGAAAGAGATAACCATCCCTTCGCTACAACTCTACGTTCTGGAAGTTGCCCTTTGTCCTGCCTTAGATGCCTGTGGCAAATTCACTGAATTTATTCATTGTTTGGTGGGTTGGTTGGTTTTCCGTGTGGAAAGCCGAAGAAGCCTTTGAAAGAGTTGGGCTTGGGAGAGTTCTGGGCTTCATTCTCTCTCTCCCACCCCCCTGGGCCCCCGCGCCTTAGCTGTCTCCCACTCTGGAAGGTGCAGCCAGGAGGAGCCTGGTACCTGCAGCCCCAGCATTTCCCAGAGCAGCTGGAATGAGCTGCTACTTGACTGCAGCTGCTGGGGCTGGATCCGGGGGGCAGGTCTGCTCAGGCATCCAGGATGTAAAGTGAGAGGAAGGGCAGACAGCAATTTGGAAGATTTAGGAGTTCTTGGGCTGTCATTGGGTTTTACTGTGTTGTCATTGACATATGTTTGTAGTCTATCTAGAGCAGGTAAGAGGTGGGGAGAAGGAAGGGAGGGCGTCCCCGTGTGCCAGGTCTGCAAAACCAAAATCGGGCAGACCCGGAAAGACGGGAGCAGGGCGGTGGGGGTTGTCTGGAAGTCTGAGGATCCTATTTGCTCCCTGAGTGCCAGAGAATGCATGCCAGGGCCTGGGGCAGTTCCCACCAGGAAGCCACCGAGGGGTGATAAAACTCACAGCCATGAAGCTTGGTTAAGTCCCTGGACTTAACGACATCTTTTCAAGCAAACAGCAGAGGTTTCTCATTATAATCTTGAAGAAAGGCAGGGCTGTTGAACAGTGTAAGAGTTTCAGAAAAGCAGAGAGGAGAGAAGGCAGGACGGAGCAAGAGCAGAGTGCCTGCCCCAGCAACCTCATGCTACTGGGCAGACGCTGGGATGCACATTCTGGAGTGGGGGAGAAGGAGCAAGTCCTAAGTGCTCGACTTCCTTCCAGAGATGACCAGACTAAGTTCTGTGTGGAGGCTGCACGAGAGCAGCACCTTCACACTTTCAGATGCACACGCAGCCCCTGCGGGTCTTGTGGAAACGCAGGTTCTGATTCCGTAGGGCTGGCCTGAGAGTTTGCATTTCTAACAAGCTCCTAGCTGAGGCCGATTTTGCTGGTCCGTGGAACACACTTAGAACAAGTAACAAGCCATGGGAGGATGCTGCCGTGGCTCACTGACACTTGTGCTTCCCTCCAAACTATTATAAAACAAGCAGGTGTAGATGACCCGGTCCGGCAGCCTGGGACGTTTGGTGAAATGACCCGATCCTTGGCCTAGTGACCAAATGGCTGCACGAGGAGCTCCTTCTCCAACTCCCCTGTCAACTCCCTCAGGAGTGAGCAAAGGGCCCGGGCTGGTTGGGGGTCAGCTGTCCCCAGGGAAAGGAGGGCTGGTCGCCAGGCTCAAGTGTACAGGGCAGCTTACATTTGTGAATCTATCACAGTGCTGGGCCTATGAGCCCAAAGCTTGACTTGCCACTCACTAACTCAGTCATTCATTCATTTCTTCAACAAACACTTAGTGAGCGTCTATTACCCCAGACACTGCGCTCAACATGGGGGTACAGAGCTGAAGAAGCAGACTGTGCCCTCATGGAGCTCACTGCACGGTCAGCCCCCTGGGAATGTGTCCATTTCCCAAGGGCACGTGGCTGATGTATAAAAAATAATATTGATGCATTTATTTATTGTGATATTTATAATTATGGTGACAGTAGCTACACGTTGTAAAGGCTGCTATGTACCCGCCATTGTGCTAAGCCCTTTACGTGGGCCGTCTCATTAATCCTCACCACAGCCTATGTGGCAAGCACTGTCATTAAACCCACTTCAAAGATGAGCCACCTGAAGCTCAGGGAAGGTAGGTAGCTTTCCAAAGGACGCCAGCTAGCAAGGAAAGGAGATGAGATTGATGCCCAGGCAGGCTGGCCCCAGTCCAGGCTCTGAGCCCCCGCCCCCCCGGCCGGGTCTCTGTTTCTGCTCCTGAGCACATTCCCTCCCTGCGGGGAGAGCTCCTGGGAAGCCGAATGACACCCAGTTGTTGAGTGAGTTTGGCATCCGGTGGGGGGTGGGCATTGGGGGATGTGGGTAACATTGATCGCAGGGGCTCACACTATAAAAACTTGATGCTCCTCTGATGTACCTATCTCCCCTAAAGGGACAGACCTTCGGCACAGGCTGGGCACTGGGGCTCCCAGCCCGGCATCCCCCTCTTTCCCTTGGGGACAGCCAAGAACACTCTGCTTGGCTTCCAAGTCTGGCTAAGCAAAGGCAGTGTCCTCTCTCTTCCCTGGGCCTCCCTGGCTGTACACACACACACACACACATTCACACGATCCTGCACAATCACACAAGCTCACACACCCACACATATGCTCACACTCAAACACACTCACATACAGACGCAAGCATGCACAATGACACACAATTCACACCTGCTCACACTCACATGTACTCACATACATACACACACAACCATGCACAATGACACACACACACACCTACAGTCACACACACACACACACTCTTCGGATGAGCACATTCTCTTGTGGATATGGTAATACTGTGAATCAGGTGAAACAGACTTTGCTGCTCTCTGCTCTGACCTATTCCGTTTGTTTTATAGTTTGACTCTCAGAAAACTACCGTATTTCTCTGTATCCAGGTTCTGAGGGCCCCTCACTGTGGCTCAGAATTCCTTTCCGCTTCTAACCCCCCCAAATGGTTCTGTATGGCCACTTCCCTTAACATCCAGGACAGATAGGAGGGGTCTTAAACGGTCCAGAGGGTTGATAGTTTCTTTTTTTAAAAAAAATGCACTCTCCATGGGAGGTTGGACAGCTTTGCATGCCGTTTTCCTTCATCTTGGGGTTTGGGGGCTGCTGTTTGTTTTTTGTGCAGGAGAATCTCTTCCAGCCAAATTCTATTAAACCGGTGCCTGGTTAGCTGCGGCCTTCTATTCCTGCATAAATCTGCTGCCCGCCACCTGCTGGGCCCGTGTTGCTAGAGAGCCTTCCACTGGCATTCCTTTCAGATTTTTAATTTACCACCTAACTACCAGTCCTAATAATCATCAGATAAGAGGATTTCTGCTGTGTTGCGCTTGTTTTCAAAAATTGCTAATACTATGGACCTGGAGTTAAGAGTAGCCTTAGGGAGACTTATAAACACCCCAGGAGGCCAGACATGCCCAGGGCCGCTGAGTTCCTCAGATGCGACGTGCTGTAGGAGTTCCAGAGGGGAGATTCCACTAGCTTGAGTGGGTGCAGAAGGCTTCCTGGAGGAGCTGAGATTTCTCCTGGGCCTTTCTTATGGATCAAACAATGTCCCCCCAAAATTCATATGTTGACATCCTAACCCCCAGCACCTTAGAATGTGACCCTATTTGAAATAGGGCTATTACAGAGGGAAGTAGTTAAGTTAAGATGAAGTCATACTGAAGTAGGGTGGGTCCCTAATCAATATGACTGACGTTGTTATAAAAAGGGGAAATTGGAGGACAGATGCACAGAGGGAAATGCTAGGTGAAAATGAAGGCAGAGGTCAGGGTGGTGAGTCCACAAGCCAAGGAAAGCCGAAGATTACCAGTAAAACAGCAGCAGGTCGGAGAGAGGCCTGGAGCAGAGTCTCCGCCACAGGAAGAAGGGAGGAGGGGAGATCCTCAGAAGGAAGCATCTCTTCTGACACCTCGATCTCAGACTTCCAGCCTCCAGGGCTGTGGGACAACACACTCCTGTTGTGTGAGCCACCTAGTCTGCGGCATTTTGTTGTGGCAGCCCCAGCAAATTAACAGGACCTGGAAGGACAGGTAGGAATTTGCGATGCACAGAGAAAGCAACCTGGCCACAAGTTGCCGAAAATAATAAACCTGAGCATCCCTCACCACTACTGCCTCCCTCACTTACAAAGCTCTTAAAAAAGATGCAGCGGAAGGAAAGAACCTCTCAGCTTGAGGACATGTCAACAGAAACCTCCAAATCTGAAAAGCAAAGAGAACAAAGACTGAAAACAACAGAACAGAACATCCAAGGACCGTGGGACAACTAAAAAAGGTACAACATACGTGGAATGGGAGTAACAGAGGAAGAAAGAGAGCCTCTGGGCCTCAGCTCCTGTCCCTAAATGGGAGGAAGTGGCCTTGAGATGTGCCCTTGAGATGTGCGCTGGGGTTCCAGCCTTAACAGGGACCTTCCCAGCTAATCCCAGGGGGCCCTTCAGGGGGCTGTGGAGACTGAGGGCTCTGGCTCCGCCTGGCAGGGCGATGGGAGCAGGACTTCCTGCTCAGCCAGTCCTCAGGCCATCTACCCATCACTGTGAGCCCTGCTAACTGGCTCTGTGTTCTTCCTGTATACTTTGAACTTTGCAAAGATGCTCAGGGAGCCTCCCTTGGTATTTTCTCATGATCTGGCCTTCTCCTTTCACTCCAACACCCCCCACCCCAGCCACCCCAACCACACAGGGATATTTTTAAAATTGTTGATGGAAGTAAACTTGGCTCATCCCCCAAACCTCTGGATTCAGGCCACAGGTAAAGCTCCCATCCAGCCACCAGCACCCCCGGCAGAGTCCCACCCCACCCCATGTTAAGGACACATCTGGGGACGGCCGCTCTGATAACAGTGTCTAGGGGTCAAATAGAAGCACCTGCTCAGCCATAGCTCAGCTTGGTCCCCACCACTGGGCAGGCTCCCTGCCGGGAGTCCAGGGCCCAGGCACTGTGACCCCTGAGGAAGAATTGGCCAGGGGTCAAAGCCCTGAGTAGGGAGCTGAGCCTTTGCACCTAGTGAGGATGGAGATGCCTGGAGTCAGATGGCTAAGGTCCACCTTGAAGAGGGACCCCAGCCTGGAAGGCTGCTGCCCTGCATCTTAGCCAGACCCTCAAGGCTCCTGAATGCCCTGTCTGCACATGAGGCTTGGTTCTTTGGGCACAGCCTGGACAGGTGGGAGCCAGTGAGCTCTCTCCAGGGGTCAGTGGGACTGTGGTGAGGGTCAGATTCCTAGAGACAGGCTTACCAGGGCAGGGAGATTATGCTTGGCCAGCAAGGGAAGCCGCTGCAGTTCAAGGCAGCTGGGAAGCAAACCTCCCTTGCTTCATCTGTAAACTGGCAAGAACCTTCCTGGGGTTGTCCTTGGATGAATGGGCCAACTCAGGAGAAAGTACTTCCCACTTGCCAAGTACACACGCACTTGGTATGGGCGCATTTTCCTCCCACTCTGCACCTGGCACCGTGTGCCGAAGCCCTGGATTAAGGGATGCCCGTGTTCAACTCCCAGCCCCTCTGGTCATAGCTGTTCGTCCTCGGGAAGTCTCTTTACGTCTTCAAGCCTGTTTCCTCATCTGTAAAGTGGGCACAATGGCAGCGCCTACCCCCCAGGACCCGTGAGATTTAATGGGAGAACGCACAGTGCTCGCTGGCTCTCCCCAGAGACTAGATGCGTGACTGCAGTTTGAGGAAGCCCCTCCTGGTGGCTACCATTTCTGCCCTTCTCAGGCCCTGCCAGGGACATCACAGATGCCTGAGGGGACCTCTGGTTCTCCTGCAGAACCAGCAAAGCCCCGGTTAAGAGGGCTGATCGGTGTCCCAGTCTTGGTCCCTGGAGAAAGGAGGCAGTGCACCCCCAGCTGTTGTCTGAGAAGACAGAGGAGCCTGAGACGGTGGCGCTGGAACCATTGTCTCTGCCCTGCCTGCCTCTATTTGCTGGGCTGGCGTTTATGGACCACCTCTGGTGAGCGATGCACTGTGGGGGAGTGAGGACCAGTGTCCTCAGGAAGGATTCAGTGCTAGCTGGGGACGTGCACACCCAGAGAGACAAATCACACACCACAAGGCAGCCATCCCTCTCTTAACAAACAAGCACAAGCACAGCAAAATGCCCCAACCAGCTTCGGCCTTAGGAGCCCAGGATGCAAAAATGAACGAGATGCAGTCCTTGTCCTCGAAATGTCCGCCGTCTGATGATAGAATCCCAGTCGGCAGTTGGCTGAGTGCTCCCAGGGCTTTGCTTCCTTTGTGATCCTCACCCCCACCCCTCATGCACGTGGTCCTATTACTCCCCTTTTACAGATTACGAACCTGAGGCTCTGAAGAAAGACTGTGGCCAAGTCCTAAACAATTGCCACTCAGTGTCCCCAGTGCTCTAACTAGAGCCTGTGCACACTGCCTTGGGGGCTGGAGACTGACTTTTCAGAGCAGTGCAGGTTGTGGTGAGGGGAGAACCCTATCTGAGCTGCTTCTTGAAGGACTCAGAGAATCCCCAGCAAGCACGGGAGAAGGGGAGAGGAATTCCTAGAGCGGGAGAAGCATGCGCAGAAGCCCCTGAGTGTAAAAGAGTATAGCTGGGGGCATGCACCCTTTGTTTAGTTCTAGAATCTAAGAGGCTTTCAAGTGGTGGGAGATGCAGCTGTGAAGGGAGGCGGGGGCAAGATTCTAAAGAGCTTTTGATGGCAACCTACAAAGTGGAAATTCTGGAGGCAATAGGGAGCCATTGAAGGTTGTTAAGCAGGGGGAGAGAGCATCTAAAACATCCCAAGCCAGTAGAAGTGAGTCATATTGTCAGTGCCCTGGGTGATGGGGGGAGAAGAACGTGGGTGGGTGAGCTGAGAAGTTTCCTGGAGCAGGGCACTGTCAGAAAGGAGGATCCAGCTCAGGCCAGAACCCCATTGAAGGCAGCATGTTGAGAGGAAAAGGCAGTTGTCAAATTAAGCCATGAAGAGAGAATGTGGAGTCTGGAGCTTTTTAGACTCAGCCTGGATTTTCCTTGCTCCCACCTCAGAGCGGGGAACTGAAAAAGAAACAGCTAAGAGAGTGTCTGATTTATTGAGCTGAGTTCCTGTCTCTCTCAGGCTTTCTGGCTCTGACTTCCCCTTGAGATTTAGATGTTCCCCAATTCTCCTCTGCTGAGGCCCTCCTCAGAGCCGTCCCCCAAAGAGTGAGCACGTTTCCTGCCCCCCAGCCACTGCCAACTCCGCTCAGCTCCCTGCCCAGCCCCCAGGCCCAGTTTCTGACAGCAATCTGGGGAACTCCACGTGTCACATCCCCTCTTCTCCCTGGGTCTAGATTCCACAACCACCCAGAACGCAGTGTTTGTCTCCTGTTGAAGAAAAGAAAGCCTGAGTTCTTCCTTTGGCTGGGTTTTTCACCATGACTGGTTTTCATTAGCTTTTCAAGTGGAAAATCAATTCTGCCCAGTGGAAAGTTGCCACTTCTGTGCAGAGTCGTTGTTCATTTAATATGTTTTATGCGGAGTGACCCAAGTTCCAGTCTGCTGGCCGGGGCCCTGGGGAATGTGCCTTAGAAACCTTCCCGGCAGGTACCTTTGGAGGAGCGAGGGGCCAGTTGCCTCTCGTCAAGCCTTCAGGGTTGAGGAAACCTGGGAAACCTGAGCAGTCTGCCCTCCACCGCCCAGCCCCGCAGAGCCCGGCCGCCCTTCCCAGCCTCTCCCTTCCAGTCCAAGGCCCAGCTCACCTGGCGGAGAAGCTTCTCCAGCCCCTCTGCCTCCCAGCCTCTCCTCTCCTGGAGCTCAAAGCGGGGGAAAGAGAAAACTAAATCAGGAAAGGAATCCAGCTGCTACAACGCCAAGCCATGCCAATTTCTGGACCCAGAGGGGGCCCTCCTGGACACATCTCCCTCTAAAGGGCCAACTCTGTAGGGGCTGAGACCAAGGGCATCTGGGGGCCCCCAGGCCAGCCCAGGGCATTGAGTGGCAGTTTAAGATATGGGTGAGAAGAAGACAGACAGGCGAGAAGTAGAGACCAGGAAAAGAAACCGGAAGACAGGAAACACAGAGACAGCAGAGCAGAGAGCAACAGGAAGTGGAGAGACTTGGCCAGTGGAAGTGGAAATGGCCGGCAGGGGCCAAGGGTGTTCAACGTTCCTTTGCCAGCTGGACTCCCCGTGCAAGGAGACGAGGAGAACTGAAGTCTCTACCAGGAAAATTCAAGCCTGGAGATAATTTAAGCTTTCCTGGGCCTCTGCCAGCCATCTCCAGGGTTTTGTCAAATTTTCCGCTTACGACCTTTGCATGTGGAAACTCAGCCTCCATCTTAGAAACCCCATCCTCAGCTCTGGCTTTTTCCAACGTTTTTGGTTATTCAGGAGGGTTTGTGAATGAAGATGTGGGATGAGGGGTTTATAGGGACTGGCTGGAGCTATACCCCTCCCCGCCATGCACACTCATTCTTGTGCAGAAGGCCCTTCTTGGGGTGGGGGCAGAGATGGGGTATGGGGATGTCCTGCTTTGACCCCTAGAAGAACAGGCATCCAGAGAGCCCCAGGGCACATTCCCTGTTGCCTGGAAGGGCGGCTCCTCCTCAGAGTACGTCAGGATTTTTTTCCCTACTTTATTGTGTAAATATAGAACCAAATCACACAATATATAAAGTATTCTATATGTATATATATTTTTCAGTTCATGGTCTTCCCCCGTCTCCTCTAATCCCACCCTTCTGAGGATTACTATTTTGATGTGTATCATTGATCTTTCTTTAATGCTTATGAAAACACACTGACCTACTGGCTTTTTTTCCCCAGACAAGACTAGGATACATATTGTTCCTGAACTTGCTTTTTGAAGAAATTCAGCAATACATCCCGGGAATTGTTCCAGCTCATGAAATGTGGATCTCACTCATTCTTTTTCTTTTTTTTTTTGGTGAGGAAGATTCACTCTCAGCTAACGTCTGTTGCCAATCTTCCTCTTTTTTTTCTTGAGGAAGATTAGCCCTGAGCTAACATCTGTGCCAGTCTTCCTCTATTTTGTGTGTGGGTCATCGCCACAACATGGCTTGACAAGTGGCATAGGTCTGCACCCCCAATCTGAACCTGTGAACTCAGGCCACTGAAGCGGGGTGCGCTGGACTTAACCACTACACCACGGGGCCAGCCTCTGACTTGTTCTTTTCTAACAGCTGCGTTGCATCCCGTCCTGTGGATGTAACACTGTCTTAGTCTATTTGGGCTACTATAACAAAAATATCACAGACTGGGTGGCTTATAAACCACAGGAATTTATTTCTCGTAGTTCTGGAGGTTGGGAAGTCTGAGATCAAGGTGCTGGCAGGCTGTGACTGGTGAGGGCCTGCTTCCGTGTTTAGAGACGGCCATCCTCTCACTGTGTCCTCACATGGCAGAAAGGGCAAGGGAGCTCTCTGGGGTCCCTTCTATAAGGGCACTAATCCCATTCATGAGGGCCCCACCCTCGTGACCTAATCACCCCCAAATACCATCCCACTGGGGGCTAGTTTTCAACATATGAATTTTGGGGTGGGCACAACGATTTGGTCCATAGGAACCATGATTTGATTAACCAGTCTCCTGTCGATGGACATTCAGGTTGTTTCCAGGTTGGGCTGTTGTTGTTGTTGGGGTTGGGTTGGGTTGGGTTTTGCTATTATTTTACGCGACCCTGTGCTAATTACTGCGCGTCTCTCCTGGGGCATTGATTCTGTAGGACAGCATCCTGGAGCGGGCTCACCGAGTCAGAGGAAACGTGTGATTAAACTGTAGCAGGCACTGCCAGATAGCTTCTCAAGAGGATCCTGCAATTCACACTCCTTCAGAATGATCTCCAGCTCCAAGACCAGAGGGTGATAATTTCTCAGGGAAAGCCTTTTCTCGATTTCATTTCACTTTTAAGTAAAACATGTGAAATTACTTACTAAACTCTAAAGCGATTACGGCTCAGATGTCAGCTGGTGATGACTCGCTCCTTAAGTTCTAAGTCATAGTGCTTCCCATCCCCCTTCTACAGATTTTCCCAAGTCAGTGCCCAGCCAGGGTTTCTGGAAGTTCCTGGAGGGAGAGGGGAGGCGTTTGCAGTTGTAGGGTCTCCTCTGACTCCTCCCTCTGGGTGACCCTGAAATCCTTCCATTCTGGGTCATCTTGTAATCCCACACATGCTACTGTTCTCATGCCAGATGACCCCATATTGGGACTGCACCCTTTTCTTTTCTTTTCTTTTCTTTTTTTTTTTTTTTGAGGAAAATTAGCCCTGAGCTAACATCTGTCACCAATCCTCCCCTTTTTTGCTGAGGAAGACTGGCCCTGAGCTAACATCCGTGCTCATCTTCCTCTACTTTATATGTGGGACGCCTACCACAGCATGGCTTGACAAGCGGTGCCATATCCGCACTGGGATCCCAACAGGCGAACCCCAGGCTGCCAAAGCGGAAAGTGCGAACTTAACCGCTGCGCCACTGGGCCGGGCCCCCGGGACTGCACCCTATGCTATAACACACCCTCCTCATACACAGTTATTCATGTGAACAGAATACTGAAGCTCTGGGGGAACTGGCAGGATTTACATCTTAGGATACACATAACTTAAATTTCAAAGTTCAATATGCCTATTGCTAAAAATTCTCCCAAACATTTCTGAAATGAGAGCTCTAGTCTTCTGATTTACTTGGTCCATCTGTTTCTCCCCATATCTCTGCCCCTCTCTCAGAAAAACAACTGCCAAAAATAATAATAAGTCCTTCCGTTTTCTAATATGCCGCAATCCAGTTCGGTTCTCCCCAGCTTCCACTCCCGGGTTTTGCTGCAGCACGAAGAAAGGGCCTTTCACAGAATGGGATTCACCCGCTTTCAAAAGGAGCAGGGCTTGTAAGTAGCACAAAGTTTTCGCTCCTTTCCACACCAAAAAGTTTCATTCAAGGGCCGGCCCGGTGGCTCAGCAGTTAAGTGCGCACATTCTGCTTCGGTGGTCGGGGGTTTGCTCGTTCGGAACCCCGGGTGTAGACATGGCACCGCTTCGCAAGCCATGCTGTGGTAGGCATCCCACATATAAAGTAGAGGAAGATGGGCACAGATGTTAGCTCGGGCTAATCTTCCTCAAAAAGAAATTATTAAATTTTTTTTTTTAAAAAAGGTTCATTCATTTAATCCATCCTCCACCCTGAGCAGAGCGTTTTTTAAAAACTGTAAATCAGATGGTAGCTCCATCCCTGCTGGTTCCCCAAAGCTGCAGAATAGACACCCCGCCCCTCCCCCGCGCCCTCGCCTGTGTCCTGCTGCTCCCAGATCTCTAAACCTACTTAAGGTTCTGTCACGTCCCCTTCCTCTCCTCTTCCTGCTCACGACACACACAGGCCCCCAGCCAGGGGAGGGGGGGCCTCCCCGAGGCCTCTTGCTCCCCTTCAATCCCTCCACCCGGCTCTCATTGGGGTGCACAGGGTCTCCTCTCCCCGGGGTGGGAACTGGCACAGATGATCACACAGTTTTCCAGATCTTTGTTCCAGACTTGGACCTCAAAACTCAAAGCCAAAACCCAAACTCTTATTCTCTGCATTGTGCTGCAATGATCCTCTCTTGAGGTGATGGTCCTGCTGCCCCAATGAGGGAGGGGCCCAGGGTGACAGGAAGAACCAGGAATAAGCATTTTCACAAATGCATCAGCTCATCTTCTCTTGGCGGAGACCCCCTGGAGGCCCGCTGGCTTCTCTCGGGGAATACTTTGATGAGCTCTTGGATGGCGGGGTAGGCAGACACCCCAAGGGGCATGCAAGAGGGAAGAGGGGCGGTTTGCATCTAGCTAACCACTGGGCTTCCACTGAGAGGGTGTCAGCACTCAGAGCAGAAGCGGGATTGCTCAGGATAATGCAGGAGCTTTTAGAGACTGTAGATTAAAAGAAAGGAAATGTGAAACAGAGAAGAGGAACTCTGAGGAAAGCACTGAGACATTTCAAGGGGATTTCTATGGGCATTTTGCTGTAGGATGACATCTTTCTGCATCTTCCTGAGCTACTGTGGCCGTGTCCTCACTGCTCTCCCATGAGGACCCACCCCCAACAATGCCTTCTCCGCACACTGACAGACCTTTCTGAAATGCAATTTGATTGTCCCCTTTCTGCCTAAGACCTTTGGTGGCTCCCCATTGCCCTCAGAATAAAGTCCAAGCTTCCCAAATAGCCGTGAGACCCTTCATGAGGCGGCTCCTCAGCCTCTCTTCTCTCCGCTCCTCACCTGCAGGTATTCACTCGGCAACTGGAGCTGCCGCCCTTCCCTCACCTCCCTGGCCCTCCCTGCTGGGCCTTTGCACAGCCATAGACGTCCCACTGAACTCCCTGCTTTCCACTCCAGAAGCTTTTTTAATCCTCACAACCACCCCGAGAGGAGGGAGTCTTCACCCTAGTATTAGAATGAAGGAAACTAAGGCTTGGGGCATTTGGTCCATGCTGAGGCCATATAGCTTTAAAGGAGAGGATAAAACTAGGCCTGTCTGATGTCTTTGTCCCTTCCAACACACCCCTGCCACCAGGGCTGGCAGTCTCACCACAAGCGGTGTGTAAGAGGCACATCAGGATCGTTACAGAACAAGAGCATCTTAGCTCCAGTTATTGTGTCACCTTATGGGACTCTGAGACCAGGGAGTTTTGCTGATGGGTAGAATCAAGAAAGATCTAGAAAGATAAACACTGTATGATTCCACTTATATGAGGTCCCTAGAGTACTCAAATTCATAGAGACGGAAGGTAGAGTGGTGGTTCCCTGGAGCTGCGAGTGGGGAAATGGGAGTTACTGTTTACGGGCATAGAGCGTCAGTTTTGCAAGATGCAAAGAGTTCCGGAGATGGATGGCGGTGATGGTTGCACAACAGTGTGGCTGTACATAATGCCACTGAGCTGTACACTCATGTCATGTGTATGGTACCACATTTTTTTTTAAATATTTTTTAACCGTACAATAAAAATTGCAAAGTTCATGGGCGAAATGGAGTTGGGGCCTAACACTTAAAAACTTGATCGATTACACACGAAAAAAAAGATAGGAACCTAATAAAAGTAGTGGCAGAGTTTTACACGTGTTAAATGGTTAAAAAATACATCAATACTACAACAAATGTGGTAGCTCACCTTGAAGTAAAAACAAAAGATCCAAAATGGATGTTCTCAAACTTTTTGGTCTCAAGACCTCTTTATATTCTTAAAGCATTAGGGACCCCAAAGAACTCATATTATGTGGTTTGTATCTATAGATATTTTCCATATTCAAGGTTAAAACAGAGAAATGTTTAGCAAAAAAGAACACACAAGCACATGTTCCCACAGCCATCACAGTGATGACATCATCACATGTCATGGAAACTCGGGAAAACTCCACTGCACGCTCGTGAGAGAATAAAAGGGAAAAAGGCAAATAACGTCCAATATTCTATTATGAAAATGGTTTTGATCTCACGAGTCTCCTGAGAGGATCCAGGGGACTCCCAAACATTCGCAGGACACACACTGAGAACTGCTGATCTATTCTAGAATGAAGGCAGAGCCTCTGGCAGGGCCAGTGGAGAGGATGGGAAAGGGGGAGGCAAGGTTATCCAAATGGGAAGTCATGGACAGTCGGGAAAGTTTCTCCTGTGAGGAGCTATGGAAAGGCTGGTGGATGCAGAGAGAATGGCCCAAGAGACTCAGCCACGCCCACCCGACCAGGAACAGTGTCCCCCACAACTTAGCAATTGGGCCCAAGGCTGCCCGCACTCAGCTGCTCCCTGGACTACACCTTCTGGACCTTCTGCAGGGTCCCAGACAGCAGCGAGGCTGTCCCGGTTGTTCTTGTATTAGAAGCAGGAAGGACCAGTTGGTTGAAAGCAGCTCTGCTGACCGCCAAGCCGGGGAAGGCAAGCCCTGCCCTGCGATGCTCCCACAGACCCAGCTCCAGCGGCAGCCAGTTTTAATAAG